CTTTCGTAAACTTAACGAAAGAACCGTGCCTGACAAATACCCTATACCAAATATATCAATGATATTGGGGAATTTGGGAAGAGCCAAATTCTTTTCAACATTAGACCTCAAGTCTGGATATCACCAGATCATACTCGCTGAACGCGACCGTGAAAAAACCGCTTTCTCTGTGAACGGGGGGAAATACGAGTTCAAAAGACTCCCCTTTGGATTAAAGAATGCAGCAAGCATCTTCCAAAGAACCATCGACGACATACTGCGAGAGCAGATTGGCAAATTCTGCTATGTTTATGTCGATGACGTAATCATCTTTTCAGAAGATGAGGAATCCCACATTAAACACGTGGATTGGGTCCTAAAAAGCTTATTTGAAGCAAACATGAGGGTCTCCGTCGAAAAATCACGTTTTTTTAAGAAAAGCGTGAACTTTCTTGGTTTCATAGTCACCAGCACTGGCGCCACGACGGATCCCGAAAAGGTTAGGGCAATACAAGAGTATCCAGAACCAAAAACGCTGTTCGAGGTTAGATCATTTCTAGGCCTCGCAAGTTATTACAGATGTTTCATTAGGGACTTCGCCGCAATAGCAAGACCCATCTCGAATATCCTGAAGGGTGAAAATGGAACAGTCAGTAAGCATAGGTCCAGAAATATAAAGGTTCAATTCTCTGAAGTGCAGCAGAGGGCATTTCAGAAGTTGCGCGATATTTTGTCATCCGAGAATGTAATGCTTAGGTACCCCGATTTTAAGAAGCCATTCGATCTAACGACCGATGCTTCGGCTCACGGCATAGGTGCAGTTTTGTCACAAGAGGGTCGTCCTATAACAATGATTTCAAGAACATTGAAGGACAGCGAGGTTAACTATGCAACAAATGAGAGAGAGTTATTGGCCATCGTATGGTCACTTGCCAAGTTAAGGCACTATTTGTATGGGGTGAAAGACATTAATGTCTTCACTGACCACCAACCCTTGACCTTCGCAGTTTCGGAATCCAATCCAAATGCGAAGATCAAAAGGTGGAAAGCGCGCATTGACGAGTCTAATGCACGTATCTTCTATAAACCTGGCAAGGACAATCTGGTTGCGGATGCCTTGTCAAGACAACAGCTCAACGCTGTAAATGAACAAGAGATTGAGTCCTGCGCAGCAACGATCCACAGTGAGGTATCACTTACCAACACCATCGAGACAACAGATAAGCCCTTGAACTGTTTTCAAAACCAAATAGTTATAGAAGAGGCGCGTTTCCCCTTAAAACGAAGTTTTATTCTTTTTGGAAACAAGAAACGCCACTTGGTCAACTATACTTGCGTCGAATCGCTGCTAGACGAGCTCGAAGATGTAGTTTCACCCAAATGCGTGAATGCTCTCCACTGTAATTTACACACGCTTGCAATGATACAAGATACATTGGTTCGAAGATACCCGGCCACAAAGTTCTGGCACTGCAAAAATCGCGTAGTGGACGTATTGGCAGTTGGAGAAAGAAGGGAAATTCTCACGGCCGAACATAATAGGGCCCATAGGGCTGCACAAGAGAATATTAAGCAGGTACTCTCAGAGTACTACTTTCCAAAGATGGCAAAAATAGCCAATGAGATAGTACTAAATTGCAAAACATGTGCTAGGGCTAAATACGATAGACACCCCAAAAAACAAGAGATTGGGGAAACTCCGATACCCTCACATGTAGGAGAGATGTTACACATAGACATTTTCTCCACTGACAGGAAATACTTTCTCACTTGCATCGACAAGTTCTCTAAGTTTGCTATTGTCCAACCGGTCCCTTCAAGAACCATCGTGGATCTGAAGCCAGCGTTAATGCAGCTGATGAATTTTTATCCAAAAGCCAGATCCATCTACTGTGACAATGAACCGTCATTGAACTCAGAGACCATCGTGACTATGCTCGCAAACAACTATGGGGTCAGCATTTCAAATGCACCACCATTGCATAGCATCTCGAATGGACAGGTTGAGCGCTTTCACAGCACTCTCTTGGAGCTAGCCAGATGCCTAAAGATCGATAAGGGCATAAGTGACACGGTAGAAGTCATTTTACTGGCTACAACTGAGTACAATAAGTCGATCCATTCGGTCATCGACCAGAGACCAGTTGATGTGGTTCAGGCTCAACCAGATGAGCCACAAGAGAAAATACAAGAAAAGATCAGAAACGCTCAGATGACGCTTAGAGCTAGGGAGAACGCAAATCGGCAGAATAGGGTCTTTGACGTTGGTGACAAAGTTTTGGTCAAGTCCAACCGACGACTCGGAAACAAACTCACACCTTTATGTGATGAGAAGGCCGTGGATGCAGACCTGGGGACCGAGGTCCTCATTAGAGGGAGGGTGGTCCACAAGGACAACCTAAGATGACTCTTGTTTTTTTTTATTTTTAAGCCACTAGGCAAACTTGTATAAGTTAGATATAGTTTTTCAATTTACTTTTAGCCACTTGGCATAGTTTTTATTAAACATTTTTGGTGGTGGGCAAACCTTTTAAAAAAAAAAAGGTTGCTAAAAAGAAAGGAAACAACCTTATTTCACAGGTTGGGATCCATAGTACTCCTTTTCTTATCAGTGGCTTCGGCACATGTCACCGACTACTCGCGTGCCAAGTACATTCCCATCATCGACGGCGAAATCTTGATATGGGAAGAATACGCCTACGTTAGGCACTCGGCAAACCTCTCAGAATACGTGCGAATTGTGGAAGAAACGGTCAAATTAATTGACATGTTCCCGCTATCCCACATGAAAAAACTTCTGAGTGTGGACACGGTACATCTACAAGACCTATTGGAGGCGTTAGGCACGCATCATAGAGTCGCCAGAAGTTTAGATTTCCTAGGGTCCATACTGAAGGTTGTGGCGGGTACACCTGATGCCAGGGATTTAGAGCAGACTAGATTTACTGAAAGGCAGCTAGTAAATGCCAACAATAGACAGATAGAAATAAACACTAGAGTTCAAGACCAGCTTAACCAGTTGACATTCACTGTCAATAAGATTCTCAAGATAGCCAAAAACTCACAAGTTGACACTAGCCATTTATTCGAGACACTATTGTCTAGAAATAGAATGCTGGTAATGGAGTTGCAAAATTTAATGCTTGCTATTACTCTTGCAAAGGCTAACATTGTTAGCCCAAACATTTTGGACCACTCAGATTTGAAATCAATTTGGCTAGAGGAACCCACCAACACTCCCATAGGAGATCTTATGTCCGTTGCGTCCGTAAAAGTCCTTCAATCCATTAACACTATACATTTTATAATTAAATTCCCAAAGATTAAACAAGCTTGCAGAAAAATTACGATTTATCCTGTCATTCACAAGAATTTCATATTGCGATTGCCTGACAACGTCATAGCCGAATGCGATGGAAAAACCCACACACTGCAGAGTTGCACCGCTTCACCTGGAGCCACCTTTTGTCGTCTGGCATTAGAGAGTTCATGTGCCAAAGAGCTCCATGCAGGTGGCACGGCACACTGTGAAATCCAGCCGAGCAACCTGGAAATAATCACCCACGTAGATGATGGAATCATCATTCTTAACGACGGGTCCGCAAGGATCCAGGTGGATAACGGCACTGAAATCCAAGTACACGGCACGCATCTCATTACGTTCGGGGACCGAGTCGCGATCAACGGGACTCTGTTTTACAACCACAACAACGTACGCAATAGAGTCCCGGGCATTGCCAACTCTCCCTTGCTGAACATCACTGCCAGCCAAGATGTCCTCAGCCTCCCTTATCTTCATCGTTTAAATGAACGTAATTTGGAGGAGATACAGCAATTCAAGAAAGACGCCGGAACTGATCAAGCTTATCGTGTGGCATTCATCATTGGAGCTATATGCTGTGCTTTAATCTGCATTGGCTTCACCCTTTGGCGGTTCATCGACGCAAGGAAGTCTGCGAAGCAATTACGAGAAGTCGTCGCCGGAATTGGGTCGGCCGAGGGCGGCCTTACACTTGAAGGGGGAGTAGTTAACACATAACATTTAATATAGGGTATTTCATAAGTTTATAATCAACCCTCGCTATCGCGTGTTTCGTAAGTTAAGAAACAGCCCTCGCAATTGCGACACTGCATACTTTGTATCAGCGCGCTATAACTGCAATGGTCAGCGGTGGTAACCAGATACTTTTGTTTACTGCAAGAGTTTCCGTTATTGCCTAAGATTGCTGAGTCGGCTTGCCGACCATGACATTGTGGTGTGATGCGAGTTTTGGCTTAGCTTAAGTGAAATATTCTATGTAGCTAAAAATCAGTTTTGTATTGAAGTTTGAAGAATAAACTCGCACTACTCCGGCACACCGCCGTAATCAAATTGTTATATTTCTGATCATTGCTGAGCCACAAGGCCAGTTAATAGAAAAGGGGGTGAAGTCAAACCCTCCAACATAATCATCATAAGAAGATTATAATTACCCGATCAACGCTGGACCTGCCACCGACGCCTAGCTCATCGCTGGACCAGCAACTTATTGATTAAGACTATAAATACCCGATCAACGCTGGACCTGCCACCGACGCCTAGTTCATCGCTGGACCAGCAACATATTAATTTGTACATATTTATACATCGATTATTCTTAAATGACTCGGAGATGAATTTTTATACTAAAAATAACATAAAGATTAAATTTATATAAAGATATATATAAATAAATTAATAAATATATATATATATATATATATATATATATATATATATATATATATATATATATATATATATATATATATATATATATATATATATATATATATATATATATATGTATATATGTATATGTATATACATATACGACTGATTAAAATGTATATATGTTTAGCAAAGTAAAAGTGCTCAGCTGAAAACATATTTATTAAGAAACCAAAATACGCCCGTACAGTTAGAGGTAATTAACCTAAAGGAAGTTTCCCATACAAATTTGTTTTCTTTTCAAAAAACTGGCGACTATTTGGTATTTTGGTATTTTTAACTATGTGGCAGCACCGGTCACACATTTCCAGAAAGCAGCGCAACAAATTGTTATTACCAAAGCTATTTACATGTGTTAAGCGTCTATCATGTCGCGTTCCCAAGCGGCTGAAGATTCAAGAAGCAGATGTAACTACTGCCAGGCTGCCATAGAGGATGACAACTATTTGGATTGCCAGAAATGTGAGCAGAGCGTGCATATAAAGTGTTTGCCACATGCCAGCACGCCTGGAGATCTACTAGGCGATGTATTCTTCGATTTCACGTGCATCAAATGTGTACGAAAAGAGTCTATTGCAAGTGAAGAAGGACCAAGGGAACGCTTTGTCCGACAGCGCATACCGTGGTTGTTAGTGTTGACTCTGGCGCTTTATAACTTATCACTGAAATCGAAAGGCTTGAGCCATCATGGCTATTTTCATTGGCGGACGCACATCATCAGCTTTGTAGACAAAAATTGGAACTACATTTTTGAGCCACGTGTGTGAGTAAATTCAGTTAGTAGCAGACAAAAATCAACGTATAATTGATTACTATTCCTAACAGACGTCGTCGCAAGCAATGGGCAGGTTCTGTTTCAGGCGCTTTGTCGCACAACAGCCCAGAATACTTTCAATCCGGAGTTAATGTATGCCTGGAGCATGGCTGGTGGAGACTGGCAAAACCCAATTTGACGCCCCGCAGTGTTCGCGCCGAATGTAAGTGTGTTATATACCGAAATTAGTATAGTGTAAATTTTTTTTATCGCTTTGCAGATGAGCAGCGCCTGTTGGAACGTCAGCAGCTGCGTACAGATCGTCGCTTGCCAGTGCAAGATGAGAACAGCTGCGGCAGTGATCTGTCTGTCACGGATCATCAGAGCGATGTCCAACCATCCATCATCACAACGGATGATACTTCACAAGGTTTGCCGGCGGTCCCGCCAAGCGAGGGCTGTGCGCGTGCCATGTGAGCAAAGTTCAATTTAATATTTTTTAAGGAGATTTATGAAATTAATTACCATGTCCTTCGTAGTCCGTACAAGGGACGCTCGCCGAAGTTACCAACCGTTGAGCAACCAGCGGAGCTACAGCAGCAGGAGCACGGGGATCTCCAGCAGTCGGAAGAAACGTCGGAGGTATCCACACAGCTACTGCCGCTGAGTAGCGTGCAGGCAAGTCTGATGGATTTTCTGGCCGAGAGCTTGGGTGGCGATGATTTGAGCATGTTTATGCCACCTCCGTTGATTGGTGCTGGCGGCAAAGGAGATTTTTTCATGTCCGACGCTCTGCTTGAAGCGCCCGGCAACAGCGCTAGCCTGTTTGAGCTGGAAAATAATTTTGGCTTGCCTCCGGCAGAGTGTGTGACGACTACAGCTGAAGCGGTGACGGAGACAGATACAGAAATAATGCCAAAACTGGAGCAGCAAAACCCATCGTCAAGTAGCTCGGAAAGCGAAGACGAGCCCATGGAAACAGAGCAACAGACGACCGCAAGCAACAGTTACCAGCCGCGCATAGTACAGGTGACAAATTTTCAGGTACAGGAGCAGCTGCAGCAATCATCACAAATCAAAGAGGAGCCGCTAGAGTCGAAAGAAGAGCCGGATGATGTGGAGCTAGAGTCATTAGCAAAAAGCAACATCAGTCTAGAACCTTGTAAGCCAAGCGGTTTCGCAAGGCAGCCCCGTCGAAACTGGCCCTGGCTGCAGGAGACGGCAAACGAGCAGCTCCCACACCAGGAATGCACACAGCAACAGCTTCGTCTTATGACTGCACATGAAGAGCAAGAGTTACATCAGCAACTGCATAAAATCTTCATGCTAGATAAGAACAACGAGAACGATATACCTGCTTATGTACGGCGGCTTTATCGCAAGCTGTGCGTGCGCAAGTGGAAGCGTGAGCATAATCGACCCGTGTTCAATCTGGACGAGCACATCGATCCCATGTCGCGTGCCCGTCTACAGCTGGTAAAGCAACAGGCACAAATTTTAGATCGCTATCAACTACTCGAGCAGGGTAATGCAAACAATCGAAGTTCCTTCTATGCCCGCATTGTAGGCTGTACTGAATACGAACTTTTCGAATCGCCCTACACGCAACGTGTCCTGCATCCGTTTATATATCGCAGCCAGAATATGGGTCCGCCTTGGCTGCGTCTGATGTGTGAGCTGCAGCATCGCGTCAATAAATGCTATCCTACCCGCTCCACCATAGACTTCTGCTACGTGCGACCGCAGCATATACCGGCGGTCAATGCGCTGCTCCAGAGCGTTTTCTGGCCAGGCATTGATGGTGAGTTGGTGCAATTTTTGTGATATACCTAGCCTTATCTCTACGTTTATTGCAGTGAGTGACTGCCTAAGCTATCCAGATTACAGCGTGGTCGCGCTCTATAAGAAACTGGTAATTGGGTGCGGTTTCCTGGTGCCGGATGTGGGCTACAATGAGGCCTACATTTCCTTTATGGCCGTGCGCCACAATTGGCGGCGTGCTGGAATAGCAAGTTTCATGCTCTACCATCTCATTCAGACCTGCATGTCCAAGGATATTACGCTACATGTCTCATCCAGCAATTCGGCGGTCATGTTGTATCAGAAGTTTGGCTTTAAGATCGAGGAAGTGATCCTCGATTTCTATGACAAATATTTACCTATCAACTCCAAGCAAAGTCGAAATGCATTCTTTTTGCGGTTAATGAGATAGGCAAAGCAAAGCCTTAATGAGATACTAAAAAGACAATAAACACATAGACAAATTATAGATGATAGATTTGTCATTTGTTGATAACTTTTAGTACTTTTATTTATCCTGAAGGGCTTCGAATTCGTTTTTTTATAAATCTTAGGCAAATATTTTCTCCTCTCGCCGTTTTTTAGTGACCACAGTGCCGGGCTTGTGCTGTGCCTCTGGGTGATTTGTGAGCTCTGGCGGACACACGGACACAGGACTAGCTGTGACGCACTGCTTCAGGTCGTAAAACAGGCTGCTGTCATCTTTAGTGACAAAGGATATGGCAACACCTGTTTTGCCCGCACGACCTGTGCGTCCTATACGATGCGTATAATCCTCAATAGACTTGGCCATGTCATAATTGATGACCAGCGAGACATCCTTAATGTCGATACCACGCCCAGCTACATCAGTGGCCACCAGTATATCCTTGGCACCAGATTTGAGCGCTGCCAAAGCATATTCACGTTGCTCCTGCCCTTTGCCGCCGTGCAACGTGCAGGAGTTGTAGCCGAGTTTCTCCAAACCCTTGGCCAGCACATCGGCGCCCTTCTTTTGGTTGACGAATATGATAACTGGTGGCTCAATGCCGGCCGACAGGATCTGCATGAGCTTCTTCCGTTTGTCATTCTCGCCCATCATGTAAACGATTTGGTTTGTACGCTCCGTAGGTTTGCCCACTGAACCGATATAAACTGTGGCCGGACGACGCAAATAGGAGCGTGCCAAACGCTCTACAGCTGGCGGCATTGTCGCCGTAAACATCACCGTTTGCCTGTACTTCTTCTTGGTGTAGAAGTTCTCCATTAGCTTCTTCTCATCCTCGGCCTCCTCCGTGTCTGGCTTGAGATTTGTCACAGGCATATATTCCAGGATCTTTTGTACATCCGGCTCGAAACCCATGTCAATCATGCGATCTGCCTCGTCAAGTACAATGTACGTGCACTGATTGAGCACCAGATACCGATTCTCGAGCACATCAATAAGACGACCCGGCGTTGCGATAACAATTTCACAACCCAGACGCAAGCGGAAGCCCTGCTCCTCCCTGGACAAACCACCTACAACGACAACAGTACGTATACCTAGCGGCTGGCCAAACTTTGTCGTTTCCTCCTCGATTTGTTGGGCCAATTCACGAGTAGGCGCCATGATAATCGCATATGGGCCCTGATCCACATCTTCCAAACGTTCGATCTTAGGCAGTGACTGGATCCACGAGAGCAACGGTATCAGAAATGCTAAAGTCTTGCCAGAACCTGTCTCCGCAACGCCAATAATATCGCGATTCTGCAGGCCAATAGGTATGGCCTGCCTCTGGATGGGCGTGGGCTCCTTGTAACCGACCGTGTCAATAATTTCAATAATTTCAGGCGGAAAGCCGGACTCACTCCAGCTGCGAATGGGATTAGGTATTTTACCACCTTTGATCGTAATGTTGTAATCCTCACGAAAGATGCGCCAATCGCGTTCAGTCATCTCGTCGTTGTCCTTCTCGGACCAATGACGATCATCCCACTTTTGTTTATCCTCCTTGCGCTTCATCTTCTTCAAGCGTACTTTCTCCTGTTCCTTTTCCGCCTCGGTGCGTCGTTTCTCTAGCAAATCTCCATAGAATTTGCTTTGTGTGCGCTTCTGCTCTTTAATGTCGATGCCAGCCACATTTCCGCGTCCAAAGAACTGCACATGATGGCGTTCCTTATATAAATTATTATAATCAATGGAAGTGTCCTCGCCCGCATCCCAATCGAATACGAATTTACGATCGTTGAGGCGACGCACGCGTCGCTTCTTCTTTACAATGCCCAGATAGCGTTCACGTATGGCTTCCAGTTCCTTTTCCTTATCCTTGTGCGTCAGATCCTCTACGCGTTTACTGTCCTTGTCCCGATCCCGATCACCGCCGCGCTCCCCTCGATCTCCACCACGTTCGCGACGCTCTGGCTTCACGGGCGGCGGTGGAGGCATTGCAACCGGCATTGATGCGGATGCTGTGGCTATGCCGCTAATTGTTTTGTTGCTGGTTGCTTGAAGTTGATCCCGCGCAGCATCTCGGGCGGCACGCATGCGTTCCACCTCTTCTTGGCGACGTTTCAGCGCCTCGACAGCGCGCTGCTCTTTGGTAAGAAAAACGGGCTTACTGCGCGCTTCTTCCTCGCGTTTCTTCTTGTCCAGTAACTCTTCCAACGATAGAGGCTCCTTCTTTATTTTGCTGTCGCCCTTTACATCCATTTGCTCATCTTCTGGCTTACCGGCCGTGCCTGTCGTTTCACCTTTAACTGTCCCCGAATTATCCAATTTGAGCTTCTTCTCAAATTCGCCGTTACGTGCCCCACGCTCACGCGACCGTTCACGCACCGGACGCTGACGGTCCGGTGAACGTCCACCACGTCTGGCACGGTCCTCCCTGCGAATTGTGAGATTATTTATTAGAGCTGTTTTTCAGTAGCTAGTTAACTTACCTGGAACGCGATCGGCGTTGACGACGTTCCTTTTCTCTGTCTGCTTGTCTGTCGCGCGCATCACGCTCTCTATGTCTCGGCACATCTCTGTCCCGCTGTCGCTCACGCTCCCGTTCCCGTTCGCGCTCTCGATCTCTGTCGGCTGCGCCTATGCCACGCTCATCCCTGTAACGCTCCCGGGAGCGCGACCGTCGCTTTTTATCATTCACCATTTCACTAATTAACAACGGAAAATAAATATTTTCGTCAGTTAAACGTTTGGCAAAAAAAAACAAAGTAGGAGAGTATAGAAATTAGAGATGAGCAGAACCGGTGCAATCGTGAGTAAACATAAGCCACGGTGACTGAGAAAATATGCAAGAAATAAGTGTTTCAATTCATACAAATAATAAATTACTTAATTTAACATAAATTATATGTATAGAAAAATTTTTTTAATTTACTTATATATAAATTACAGATGTATTAACCCACAGTTACTCGAGTAGTCACAACATTAATCTCTGCATTTGATAGTGAGACCGTTCGTGTATAGCTCCAAAATACCCTATTTTTGTATTTAAATACTATGTAAGCATTAATGGCGTCGACCAGCTGTGTTATTGGAGCCTCGGCCCTTACGGGGCATTTGGGGGACTCAGTTTTGCGTGTTTTCTCTGTGCTAACAGACAAACAACAACGCACCGCCAGCTACAAGTGACGCAGTGAACCAAAAACCTACTAAAAAAAAAAAAAACAAAAGAATTAAAAGCTGCGAAGTGGCCCGAATAGCACACATCAAGTAATTCCCTTGATTTGCAGCAATTGTGGGCGTACAGCGCCAACGCTTTGTGTGTGTGTTCGTTTCTCTTTAGTTCCAGCAGCTGGTAGCTGTCATGAGAAATAGCAGAGATCAGGAAACTGCGCCAATTGCTGCGCCGCGCAATGGCAGCGCTTCGAACATGTTTCGTAGCTTTGGCTCGCTCTTTGGTAGCAGCGCCGGCTCAGAGATTGCACGTCCAATGACGCCTCAATCAAGCGATGGCTACGTGGAGTTTGGTATGCAAGATCCGGAGCGCAGCGGACGTACACTGGGCACATTTGCGGGCGTCTTTAGCCCTGTGGCCCTGTCCATGTTCAGTGCATTGGTCTTCATACGTGTGGGTGGGTGTGACGTCATATCTGACTACTCCGTCTCTCTCTCTCTCGCTCTCTAATAATTTTATTATTTATTTCGCTTGCAGGTTACATTGTGGGTAATGCGGGCTTGTATGTAACGCTGCTGCAGTTCCTCATAGCGTACGCAATTTTACTATTTACGGTGGCCTCTGTTTGTGCCATATCCACAAATGGAGCTGTTGAGGGTGGCGGCGTCTACTGTGAGTAGCCACATGGATATAGAATTTGAATTATTTAATTAAAGACTTTTCCCGCTTTTTAGTCATGATTAGTCGCACTCTGGGTCTTGAGTTTGGCGGCTCTATTGGCACACTGTTCTTCTTTGCGAATGTGGTTGGCTGCGCCATGGCGATATCCGGCTGCACGGAGGGCGTCATCGATAACTTCGGACCCGGCGGCCGTTTTGTCAGCGATTCTGGTGCCCATCTGCCCGATGGGAAGTGGTGGCGCTTCCTTGTTAGCAGCGGTATCAACACAAGCATGCTGCTCGTCTGTCTAGTGGGCGCCGCTCTCTTTGCCAAAACATCGGTGCTTATTTTGGGCACGGTGACCGTTTGCCTGTTTGCCACATATATCAGCTTTTTGACCGTGGGCGCCACCAACGATACGGTAAGAGGGGATTGCAATCAATTATACAGACCTAAAGCTCCGTTAGATAAAATCAGAGTTTCACATGTTGAAAAATCCCAGCAGAGAGCACAGCTCAACGCTTTGATATGTAGAATGTGCTGAAAACTATGTGACATAGATATTATTTTTTAATTTCATTAACTTGCGATAATGACTGTTGTCCAAAGATAACAATAGCTTCAATATTTTAGGCATCGGTCACTTCTGTTCTTTTGCTGTAGTAAGTCCCATTGAGCTTTCAGTACAGTAAGCACTAATTAGTTTAGGCAATAGCACAACTAGCCACGACTGGGAGTTACTCCCTAACAATAGAAAATTCTTAAGAAATTGAAAAGTGTCGGTGGACCTTAACTGATATGTCAGTTCATCAATCAAGCAGTCAGTTGGCTAAATTAGGTGTATTCCTTACTGTAATTATAATTCCAATTTCTACGTTACTGAGTTTCTACTGTACATGTGTTAGTAAATTTAAAAATGTGGTTTTCATAAAAATGACGGGCATTATATGAATCATTTGAATGCTGCTGATTACAAACTAAAATGCCCGCACGTTCGCAAATGAATGGGTATCATGTGAATTATCAATTAAGTGCAATAAGCTGCTGCTATCACTGTTTACTATGATTACATATATACATATAAATATATCTACATATTTACTTACTCAACAGATTCCTGTGCCGGTAGTGAATACGCTTATGAATGCTACGGCCTTTTTGCCGTATACGGGTCTCAGTAGCAAGACCTTGAGCGATAATTTGGGCTCACATTATGGCACGGATTATACGTCGAACTACAAGAATGTGGATTTCTCAACAACGTTTGGTGTGCTCTTCTCTGGCGTTACGGGCATTATGGCCGGTGCGAACATGTCTGGGGAGCTAAAGAATCCCTCGAAAAGCATACCATGGGGCACACTGTCTGCCGTTTGCTTTACATTCGTCTCGTATATCATACTCTCGTTCCTGATGAGCTGCACCACGCCGGCTGTGACCATGCAGAACAACTATCTGTTCCTGATGCCCGTCAATCTGTGGCCTCCATTCACAGCCATTGGCATTCTGACTGCTACCTTCTCGACGGGACTGAGCAATTTGATTGGCTCCAGTCGCATTTTGGAGGCGCTCAGCAAGGATCAGGTCTTTGGCTCGTTGTTGAACTTTGTGCTCCGTGGCACCTGGAAGGGCAATCCCATCTGTGCTGTTGTTATCAGTTGGGTGCTGGTCGAGTGCATCCTTTTGATTGGCTCGTTCAATATTATTGCTCAGATTAACTCGGTGCTGTTTATGCTATCTTATTTGGCCACGAATCTGGCCTGTTTGGGTATTGAATTGACCGGTGCTCCCAATTTTCGACCACTCTTCAAATACTTTACCTGGCACACCTGTCTCGTTGGTCTGCTGGGTACATTGATTATGATGTTTGTCATCAATCCAATTTATGCCTCGTCCTGCATCATTTTGTGTTTGATCCTGGTCATAGCACTGCATCTCTTCTCTCCAGCCACGCAGGCGGCACAGTGGGGCTCCATCTCCCAGGCGCTGATGTTCCATCAGGTGAGTTGAGTGTTTCATTCACATTCTTCTATCTTCTATATTAACTCTTCTTCCTTCTATTTGTGCAGGTTCGCAAATATTTGCTTATGCTGGATCCACGCAAAGATCACGTCAAGTTCTGGCGTCCACAAATTTTACTCTTGGTCTCCTCACCGCGCTCGTGCTGTCCTCTTGTGGACTTTGTTAATGATCTAAAGAAGAGCGGTCTCTACATCATTGGCCACGTCAAGATTGGCGATTGTAATGGCGTTGAAGATGCAGTCGAGAACCAGCAATGGTGGTCCTTCCTGGATCATATGCGTGTCAAGGCGTTCACCGAGGTGACCATCAGTCGCAGCATCCGCGAAGGCGTTCAGCATCTAATACGTCTGTCCGGCATTGGTGCCATGAAACCAAATACCATTATTTTGGGCTTCTATGATAATGAGGCACCAAAGGATTTCTTTCAAAAGTAAGTAACTGAGAGAGCATTACATCTATTTTGGAATTTGGAATAATTATCTTTAATTTTAGTGGCACTTCCCCATATAAAACGGATGCCTTTAATGAGGGTGACGCACTCAGTTTTCCCATACGACGTGATGGTGAGCCAAAACAATTTGAGGTGCAGGAATATGTGCAAATTCTTTGCGATACGCTGCGCATGAAGAAGAATCTGTGCTTGTGTCGCAACTTCCAGCGTCTGGACAAGAACTTCATAACTATGTGCGTTTGAAGGAAAATGAAAATAACATTGCCATAAATATGTGTATTAAATTTTAAATTTTACAGAAGCAAACACGTTAAGTATATAGATGTGTGGCCTATTAATGTATTCAATCCCACATCGGGCGATCCCTTTGACATGGTCTCGCTGTTCATGATGCAATTGGCTGTTATCATGTTGGCCAAATGGAAGCATCTGCGTGTGCGCATCTTTCTATGCGAAACAAACGAGGAGAGAACTGTGGGGTAAATAATAATTTATGCAAAAAAAGAAACCTAAGCATAAGCTAACTATCAACAATTGTTTTTCAGTACCTTTGATACACAAGCACCGCAAATGGATGTATTTTCTAAGCTGAAACTGGAACAATCCCTGAAGGAGCTTCGTATTAATGCGGACATAATAGAGATACAGGAATGGAGCAGGAACACAGACTTCACTCGTCATGCGCGCATTCTCAGGCAATTTACAGCGCAAGCAGATGAGGCACTGCTGGACGATGGTGATGAGATCGCTGAGGATAAGTTTAATCATTCGCTACTGTACATGCAGCGTGTGAATCAAATAATACGTGATCGTTCCGATCAGACGGCCTTATCATTCGTTTATTTGGCTGCACCACCTAAGCCCTCATTGACGGACTTTAACGACCGCAGTGCCAGCTACATAGAGCTACTCTCCGAGCTAACAGCCGAGCTGCCGCCTACCATTTTAGTGCATGGCGTCAGTACGGTGACCTCGACTACGCTGTAAGCTATGTAAACCCAGACACCTACAACTCTTTCTTCGATTCGCTCGTGCGGGAGATTGCAGGCGCACAGTGATATCAAATACATTGCATATGCGGCACATACACATAATGAACTTTAACAAGCCGCACATTAATACTGGATCAATCCAATTTCATAATACGATCGCTCTCTTTTAAATTTGTAAGCCCCTGGGGCTTAATGCTATAATTAATCATATGAGTATTTGTTTTTGTGTTGTGTGTAGGCTGAAAGCTAATGAAAACTATATATATATAAAAATTTATATTTGTATGAACATAACGTATAATCATGTATTCATGTTTGATTTTATCTTATTTTATACAACCACAAGAACCACTCTAATATCATCGATACACTTTGTACTAATTATCATATCAGCAAATTCTCTATTTAACACCTATTTTTATACGAATATATAATAATATTTAACACACAAGTGCGGACCATTTAAAGACAAACAAAAATATGTATATATATATGTGTCCGTTTTGTGCTCTGTACGATATTAACGATTTTGTGATTCGAGAACCCGCTCTCTCTATTATAGCAAAAAGTATTATAACAAAAAACTTTTAGTTTCACAAAGAAACCCTATTAAACTATTCATTCGTTTTAGTAAATAATTTTCCACATATTTATGGCGTCTCACAGCGAACCATTCACAATTAACTGTTTCGAAATTTTAAGCTAGACATATTTTAAATTATACGTATAAATATATTTTTCTGTTTGAGCAGTTAATCGTGATTGTGGCTGTGAGTAACCCGCATATACAAACATTTCATTTATAATTATACTGGAAATGTATTCAGTTCTTTCCAATAATAAATTAAACATAACGATATGTCTTAATGTAAATGTTTGAATACTTGATTAGTGTTGGAGTTATTGCAGTTGTGGGGGCTTGATATCGATCACATATGAGAAGCGTGCTTATCTAGAATTTTGAATTTGCTTTAGAATAATTATGATAAAGACTTAAATATTGAAGCAAAATGTTAACAAATTATATAAAATAGAAATGGAAAACTTATTTTTTATGTCCAGAAATTTTTCAATATTGAATCGAAATTGTTGAATTCATTTAAAATCTTCATTCAGTAATATAATTTTCAGTTTTAAGAGCTGTTCCTAAAGAGTATTTTAACTTCGACTTACTAATGCGAATTAGTTCGTTTTGTATTTGAATGAATGAACATCATGCTAAGATCAAGATATATTTGCGACTCAGAGTGAGTATGGAAGTGCTTATCATGCTGTTGATGCAATTTCCGATTTGTATGATACTCTCGAGTCATCCATGATTCAAAAAGGAAAATAAAAGAACATTTAAGTGAACTACTTTCCATGGCGATCAGTTTTGGACTCCCGCCCACTCTCAAGGTAGCCGCAACGAAAGGTTAATTAAACGTAGGGAGAAATCAATTCAAACACTTGGCTGCATTTCTATAGAAAACGGGCAAAACAATTCTAAACACACACAATCATCTGAGCGCCGGCCATGGCTAAAATGTACAAATGATGGCCAGTCGCAAGAGTTGTCCCGATATTTCACACAAAGATGCGCCGACAAAAGGCATGGCAGGATCGTGACGTTTGATCTTGACGCTCGCTTCTGGCTTCTGCTGCTCGCTGATGAGCCGCTGATCGATGTGCCACGCGACCGCAAATACCTCGACATTATGCTGCACATTTCTGGCGAAAGGACCAACGACTGACCTAATTATGGACTGGGGCCCGAATAGCTCAAGGATCAGCTAAAGATCGGCCACGCCTTGCCTGGAATTTCCAATTAGCATGTACATTTACCTGCCCAGCCTTTTGGCCAGTTGCATGTCCTTGTCAAAATAGCAAACAATAGACGCGTAGGCGGTGCTGCGGCTCGAAAGTCAAGTCTCTCCATCTCCGTTCAATGCAACAATAGGCCAACTGATGATAATCTGCTTTCCTCCTGCGCACAGGATTAATCGTTTTCGTTGTGCGGATTAGTCGTTGGCGCTAAATTGCGAAAATGCGATTAGTTGCTCAACTATTGTTCAACTATTGCGTGAGATTGTTGCCATTGTCACGCCGAACAAGAAGATCGTCTTTTGTGCCTGGGAAAATTGCAAGTGCAGCACTTGTCCAGAGCCCCCTTTGTTTGGCCAAACAATGGCAATTGTAGTGCTATTTTCTATTGTTCTGCAGACATTGTCTGTGTCAGCAAATTACCATGTAATATTCCAGCATTATGAATAATATCTAATATTTTTGTTTTGGTTTCTGCGAAAATTCGCTTTGCTTGCTCGCCAGACAGCTTGTCGCTCAAGGGATTAGCTTACACTTTCGAAATATTTCGATAATTTGAATAGTTTTACTAAATAGCTCTTGACTCTATTTCTAGGAAAACAAACATAACTTAGTACACACGACAAGGCGCTGCCTCTGTATCAGCATATCCGTTAGACTCGCCTCTGATAGCCCAAATGTGTCGAGGCAATTGCAACGTTTATATGAGAATTTATTGACATTAAGCGTGATTTGGAAAACAAACAGTAAGCGAACTAAAACTAAAAAAAATACCCTTTTTTGGCTGGCGCAGATCCTTTCGGCAGGTAGCCTCGTAGCTCCTTCTGAGCGGCAGCCCCTATTGATGAGTATCATAAATTGTCATCACATAAATAGCGCCGTGACATTTATGACTCCATTGCGACTGCCGTTGGGTAATCTCTGTGTCCTTTTCCTTTTTTTTAACAGACACGAGCCTCAAGGATATGCCTCTATCTTAATAAGCATTTAATGGTAGCGGTAAAAAGGCGCACAAACACAGTTTCAATCGTCAGGCAAGGCAGCAGAAGTGTTAAGTGGGCGACTGATAAGTTTTTACAACTAGCAACAGCTAGCTATGGGGTGCCGACGGATGGTATGCCTTGGCGATTTGGCCAGCAGACAAAATTAGAGACAAACTCATTCCAATACAGCTAGCTTTAAGAGTTGGCATAGATACAGTACAGTACAGCTATTGAGCTGTATCAAAGATCTCTTTAGCTGAATATGATAACTAATAATATAGGGGCTAACACACATTCAATAAGATATGGACAGGGTATAGCATATCATAACGTATAATATATACATATTTACTATACTAAGCCAATGATAACGTAAAACATATCGACATGTAATATATACACATTTACTATACTAAGACATTGATGGAAACTAAACTATATTTTAATATTTAGTACTTCTCATTGGGTTTTATTGGGACTAAGTATAAACTATGGTATATAACGCAGCTTTGTAAACTACAATAAAGCTGGTGAATGTTGAGTTTTGAATAATATATCTGAAGCTCGTATGAGCCCATTTAAGTCGAAAATAATGAATATGAATAGTAATGTCATACATACTTGTATTTATCTATATACAATATTATTATAACTAAATTTTAAAATTTTTAAGCTTGTTGCTGCCTTTTAGTTAAGGCTTAGTCAGCTCTCTACTTATCAAATTTTATGCCAATAAGCTAAGCACACAGAAAACTAATTTCAGCCTTACTCGCTTTGGTTCTCTATTGAAAGCGCTATTCATACAATTCTCAATACAATGGTAGCTTCTTATAAAAAGTGATAACAAATAAATATTTCTCTAAAACAATTACTATAAGTTAAATTGTTAATTGATATTTTCTATGCAGAGAAAAATCTATAAAATAACAATAGAAAATATCTGCAGCTTACTGAATGGTAGAATAAAATTTAAAAAATATATATATATAAAATCTATTTGTTATTAATCATCCAGCTAGCAATATAAAGAAACCTTTTGAGATATCACAAATAATTTCATATAATTTTTAAGGCTAAAACTTCTTTATGATCGTGTGAAAAAAAAAACATTTATTTATTTACATTCTGTGAACCGCAAGTGTTGGGAGTAATTTTGTTGTTTGCAGGGAAATCGCTCGAAATAATTTCTGTTTAGTTGACCCAATAAAGTACAATGGTTAAAATCGAAAGTTTCAACAAAGTAAACCGCACTGGAGAGAAATTCTTTTGTTGGCTGCAATAAAACGCTTACTGCAGGATCGCTAGACCACAAACATGCAAACTAAATTGGCAACTGGCTAGTGGCCAAGAGTACAATAAGAAGGTTCAGGGTGAGAAAGAAAAGGCAAAAAAGAAATGGCTTCATATAGCATGCCAAGATGTACGGCATAACAAAAGCGGGCTTTAAAGGCTTTGTGTGATCCATGATTGACCTTGGCAACAATTGTTTGACATATGAAATTAAATTTAAACAGAAGTTGCGCTGCACATATATATATATAAATTCTCTATATTCTCTATGTATATGTTTATGGCAGGTCAAATCGAGTTGCTTTGCAGTAGCAATTAAACGTTTTGACCGCAAGCCAATTTAGGGCACGGGCTGCGCCAGGTAGAAAACTGGATCAGGCCAAGCCAAGCCAAGCTGGGCTCGGCGAATCAGGTAAGAGCAGCGGCTGCAGCCAATCAACATTGACTGTTGCTGTTATTGCTGCTGCTGCTGCTGCTGCTGGCTACTTAAGGTTCAGTTTTGGCCTGCCATTGCGTCAGTTATCCTTTGGCTTAGCACACACGCACAACATGTTGACGAACAACGAGCTCATCGAGCACTTCTACTATAGCGCTGAGAGTTTGGAGGCCGATTCTTCTGAGACCATACTCGGCCAGGAAAATTTGCAGCAGCAGCTGGAGCAGTTTATGAACCAGCAGCAGGACAGAGACTTCAGTGGCAGTGCGGACAGTTTATCCGATGGCACCAATAGCTGCTCTCTGGAGCTATACTACGATACGCCAGCCGTGCTGGAGCTGGAGCAAATGCTCAGCGCACAAACCCAACAGCAGCAGCAAGAACTACAGCAAATGCAACAGCAACAACAACAGCAACTGCCTGGCGGCGCCAAATACCACACTAAGGCTGCCAAATTTTGGCATAAGACAGCGCGCAGCAGACCCTACGACTGTCATGTCTATCCGAGTGCAGCCTGTGAAGAGGAGTCGGAGGAGCACGGCGGCTGCGGCAAAGAAGTCCTGCGCAAGCGTCGTCTGGCGGCCAATGCACGCGAGCGTCGCCGCATGAATAGCCTCAACGATGCCTTCGACAAGCTGAGAGATGTGGTGCCATCTCTGGGCCACGATCGACGACTCTCCAAGTACGAGACATTGCAAATGGCGCAGGCGTACATTGGGGATCTGCTCACGCTGCTCGCCAGAGACTATTGAGCAGCAGCAGAATGGTGAGGACTGCTGAGGGGGCTTCAATGCAACCGTTATGTGTTGCTGCAACACTTGAACCTAGTGTCAACTTTTAAAGGCTGTTAGTTCTTAAGTTTAGCTGATTAACTTTTTTCAAATAAGATCGTTTATTAAATATAATTAAGATATATTCAAAAAGCAATCGAAACTGAATTTTTATTTCTTTCTCGTTCGAACGGGCATGAAAGCAAACCGTACCGTCGCTGTTGAAGTTCGAGATTTGGTACCCCATCCACTAGAGGCGTATCAAATCGAGATATACTTCATCTGGTACAACTATACATAATATACTATTCTATATGCGCTATCTGATACCATAGAAATACTACCATTAGGTGCTAGGGGCTTGAAATTTGGAATATAATATCGTGCAGCTAAGCCTAGACAGAAATATATAGCAGTTATATCTACCTATACCTTCTAAAGGTATTCCAAAATATATTGGAAATTTTAAATATCAATCTATTTTAACAATCCTTTCTATAAGCTATAAAAGCTTTTGAGGACAAAATCTAGGCAAAGTTAAATTGAAAACTACAAAATATCTGCTTCAGTGAATATCTTTAAGAAATATGCGATTTAACAGGTTTTCAAGAATATAGAAATAAACATATATTAATGCTGAAATGCTGCTTCGAAATATCATAAGTGCTATTAATATTAAAAATATATATTCCTCTATGGGCATGGTAAAACCCGAAATTTAAATTTTAAAAATAATTTAAACGCTAATTTTTTCTCTTTATTAAATGAAAAACCATTTCAAATTAAATTTCAGTTTTCTGTATACCAAAATATATATAGTCAAATCCAATTTTAAATATTTGACTTTTCCACATATATAAAAATTTAACCCAACGATTTGGCTCATTAATTCACAATTTTCAGCTATTGCAGTTGCTGTCTTAAAACAAGAAAAGGTCCTTGAGAACGCAATATCCTGAGCAGCGGGCGTAACGCCCACAAAATATAACAAGAGTCAAAACAAGAGCTCGCCGACATACGATTGATGAGTTCCGACTTCCGATGTCGAAAAAGAAGCAACAGCAACAACACGAGAAAACCAGCTCCTAACTGGAGGTGATTAAGGGCCGTCAACGTCAACAGGTAAACAACACTAAATGCTGCCTTAGATCCTGCGCCGCACAGGACATGAAATGTGATTTAAACAGTAATTTGTACACATGAAAGAAAAAGGTTTTTCAATTTTAAATATCACATTTAAGTTTTGTATTTAAACAGCTAAACATACGTTACTAAACTTAACTACACTTAACATTAAATATATATTATTTATTTATTTAATAACTAATATTACTATAGATACATATAATTACTATTGATACACATATGACTTGCAGATCAACTGACTATAACTTTTATTTTATATTTAATTTCTTCACAAGTTTTTATTTTTCTTTTGGCATGTGACGCTGATATGGCATTTGGTTTGCTTATGGCAGAGTTTGTACTTAAGAGATTATGAGAATTCTTTTGTTCGAGAATTGGACGATAGATTAGAAGTTAACCCCATGTTCGACAGTGGCCCTTAAAAATGTGTTTCTGAAATTCAAAAAAAAAATTTTTTTTTTATGAAAAAACTCGAATCAGTCTTGAAGTTCGTTTGGAAAATGTCAAATTTTTGTCACGCCCAAAGGGGCGTTCAGTCATTCCACATTGGTATGTCCAATAGATCAATGAAAAAATGTTAAAATCAAAATATTTCTTTATATCTATAAGATTTGCCCCCTTTACTTGCGAGTAAATGTTTAAAAGAATTTAATTTTTATTTAATTTGAAATTCTTTGAACGAGATTTTTTCTTTATGTTTTTACCGAACAGAGGGTTATTATTTAAATATTTTTTTGTATGTAGACATTTAGTGAAGAGCATAAAACTTTGGCAAAACCGAAGTTCAATTAGATACATTTAGTTGCTAATTTAATAATTACATTTATATTATTTACAATATACTTTTGCTTACATCTAGGGCTGAAAACTAAAAGCAATGTTTGAAGTTAACTAAATTGTAGGATATATATTTTTAGTATATATATGATTTATAAGCTAAGGCAACTCTAAACTTAAAGGAAATTTTTGTAATTTGTTTCTAAACAAGTCTTGAAGTGTATTTTTCTTTGTCTATGTTGTGAGAGCAATTGAAAAAGAGATGTGTATCGTTGACTTTTCTAAAAAATGCTATGGGCCACATAGGAAATAAACAGAACACATGACTATGGGGAAAATAGAATCAAAGCATTCTGTCCTGAAATATATGGGAGTTCATTAAGGGAAATACCCGGATAAACCCAAAAATTCACATCGTGAAACTCGTAGATGTATTTTATTAAACGTTCTTTAAAACTTTTCTATCGACTTGACTCCATAAATTTGCTTTATAAACTCTCTTAGTCTCTTAGTAAAACCCCAACTAAGTATTGCTTGTTCTGCTTTAATCCATATCGATATAATCAATACAAAATTGCGAAGGGAGACCAGGAGTAAGACTGCATATAATAAAGATTATATTGTATTTATATCAGGAAATTGTAAAACTGTATGCTTAAACTTAGTTCGCAGTTAGTTTGGTGTCCATACTGTTGCTTCCACATGGGCATCTATATAGTTTATTAAATAGCCAACGATCCGCAGCTTTGAAGCAAGTTAATTAAAACTAAGTGTGTGTATGTGTGGGCTGTATATGCGTCGTAAGGCTAAATCCAAATGAGATAAAGTCAACTAACAACTAAAATAAACTTTGCACTTCCATACGCGTGTGAGTGTATGTATTCGTGACTGTTTGTTTATATATGTGTGTGTTTTAAATAGAAGCTATAATACGGAATTACATCCAAGGTTTACCACGCATGCGCCCACGACCGCCGTTACCGCGCATGGGTCCACCACCGCGTTGAAAGAACGGCCGCGGTCCTGGCCCCTGTCCGCCATCAAAGGGGCCGGGCATACGTTGATAATTGGGCCTATAGGGTCCCGACCAGCCTCGACCACGGCCTCGTCCTCGATTCATATTATCTGGACTATTGCCAAATGGCTGAAACGGAAATGGACCACCTGTAAACGGCGGCCTGGGAGGTGGCGGCACACCGGCTGCCCCATTGTTGCCCTCATTCCCGTTCCAGGGCATTGGCGGTTGCATTTGATTCCACGACTGTTGCTGTGGCGGCAACGGCGGCGGCTGTTGCATTTGTTGCTGTGCATCGGCCTGCATTTCCTGCATGTTGCCAGTGCCTGTTGCTGTTAGAAAACTGTTGTTTGCATCCCATTGAAAGTCCTGCGGCGTTTCCAGCAGCACGGGACGCGGAGTTAAGGCGCCATTAGCATCGAGTTCACCATCCACATTGTCTAGATGCAGCTGGTCCGCATTGACATTGAGCTCTGTATGGAAAGTGTTACATGTAAAATTTGCCACTACAGCTAAGAAATTGGTTTCATGGCGGCAATTGCTATTACCTAGCTGCGACTCTTCGAGATCCTCGTCGGACATGTCCATATCAATAACCATATCTGCGGGATCATAACGTGCCGAGCCATCCACGCGATCCGATTCGGAAGAGGAGCCTGTAAGGACATATTGGGATTAACATAAAGATTTGCCTATATGGATTTAAAGGTTTTAACTTACTCGCATTGGATTTCTGCGGCGAGCTGGTCTTCTTCACATAGCTACCCGGCGGCGCCATCATGGGCGAGTTGTTGCCCAGACTGCGTATAGCACTGCCGGCCTCCTCGTTCTTAGGCGCTGTACGGTAATCGACGTCACCCCCGCTGAAATCCTGCAAAGCCATAAATATTATTTATATTGCTTAAATAGATAATGATATTAAAGTCTGTCTGTTATTTAGAAATGAAATCTAAACCAAGTAATTGCTTAGAAAAACTATTGAAACCATCTATTAAATTTACATTTCCATAAGGTAACACACCTTATCGGCACCACCTGGTGAACCAGTCAGCGATATTAAATTCCTGTGATCAATGTCCACTAATTGCCGTGTTTGCTCATCGCTCAGCGCTGACTTGGCTCGAAAATTGAATGCGGGCGGCAACTGAATCGTTCGATGATCCACATCTTGTGCACCTAGGCCTGCCACATTGTGATGTTCACTGTACTCAATGGGCGCGCTGCTACCTTTGCGCTCGAAATGAGGCGGCGAGTGCGGCGTCGATTGCGTTGGTGTTGTATAGCTGGAGCTGGCACCGCTGCTGTTTAGGCTGTTGTCCAGCGGCGTCCACGTCATGCTCATGTCCCAGGTGCTGTTGAAGTCATCCACGCTGCCCGATGCTGGTATGGCCGGCGGCATGGGCGGCGGCGGTGCCATCGGATTGCTGTTCAAAGGCGCGGGCGTATACTGACTATCCGACTGGCCATAGCCTAGATGCGGCGGCGGTGGCGGTGCATATTCTTGTGCAGAGCCACCGAATATTGGCGGCGCTGGTGGCGGCAGAACACCGCCATAGCCTGATTGCACCTGACTGGGATTGTATTCATCGCTGGAGCCACTGCCTCCGCCGTTGCCACTGCCTCCGCCGTTGCCACTGCCGCCAAGACCCGGTATGGCACTGCCTCCATTGCCGTTGGCATTGTTATTGCTGTAGCTTCGGCTCAACTGTTCGGGCTTGTAAAAACTAGAGCCGGGCGTATAGCTCTCATCATCCGAACGCGAACCAATCACCTCAATAGCGCTGCCACGATCCTTGCCACTAGACTCGCGCTTAAAGTCGTTGATATCGAACGGCAGCTGGCCGCCATCTAGATAACTGGCAAATCCATTGAGACCGCTGCCGCTGAACAAGTTCTGAGGGACATACAAATCAGAAGAACTATATAGGAGTGTTCCCAATATCGCCTTATTCTGAATATTAGTTGTGAAAATAAATAAATTAGCATGCGGAGTGGCAAAGAAAATAATTCAATAAAACTTGGATAAAGTGTCCAATTTTATTAGATACATAAAGTACACTACATCTACACAAAAATAGAATCTATTGATATCAAATATATTACACAGTGATCGCTTGTAAAATATGATCAAATCAGGAAATATAAAAATTGAATTTTCAATACTGAAAATGCAACAAATCCAAATGTAAATTAAAAATGTTATATAAAATAATTTTTATATATATATAAAGACAAATGTGTAGCAAATTATAATCTTCACTTCAAGCGAAGTGTTGCTATTTGCGAGCGACCACTGTACTCATCTACATTACATCTCTAAAATTCAAACACAATATAAAGTTCGTTTATACTTGATATGTTTTATAGCTTACCACGCCCAGCGGTGAATTATTCTCATCCGGCAGCTGGAGATCTGCGTCTCGTTCCGGCGACGGTGCATTAATATCCGGTGAGGGGATCGGACTGGGTAGCGTTGGTATAACCTCATCCAGCTTGCGTTTGACTATCTTAATGCGTGTGCCGAAACTTTTATAGGCCTGAAATGCACGAATTAATGCAATTATTTATGTATATAATTATCTACATTGCATTTGTATTAACTTACACTTGCCACAACTTTAACTTCACGGCCCTGATGCTCGTAGAACTTTTTGGCTGCTTCGATCGACTCCAGCACTGCTTTGCGACTCTTGATCTCGTTTTGGAGATTCTTGTTGCACGCATTGATGAAGGCCACACAGCGTTCCACCTCCTTTTCAATGTCGCCCGAGTGGCTTTTGTCTTTTAGCTGTTGCTTGATGGCTTCAATTTCGAAATTCGGTGGCTTTGGTAGCTTCTTCATGCTCTTGTCCGTCGTCTCGGCCAGTTCAACGCATTCGCGCACCTGCGCGATTAGCGTTGCATTCTGATACTCATTGCTTGGATCATTGCTAGCTGGGGCTTTCTTTGGCGGCGCTATATTGAGTAGACCGCTTAGATCGCTCAGAAATTCTTCGTTGTAGATTTCGCGCTGTTCCCATATTTTAAAGATGCGCAAGATTTTACCCTTGACACGTTCATCGCTATGAAAAAATTAAAATATATATTTATATAAAATTACAATAATTATATAGAAACTACAATTGACAATTGACAGCAAATTACAATAAATAATATACACATAAAAAACATATTTTTTTAAATGTAATTAATAACATGAATAAACAATGGCAAAATTAAAAAAAGTAAGTTAAACATTTGTAGAGTATCTGTTAGTCGACTAATAGCGATTCTTCTTGTTCTACTTACCGCACCATCGTGGTGGCTCTTTGGAGCGCTGTCGCCCAGCATTCGACAAATTCGTAGCGCTTGCGTTTGCTGTACTGGATGACATCGTTGGCCAGATAGAACAAAACCAATCGATGATCGACACGAACTGTGACAAAGGGGTGTAGGGGTTATAGCTAATAATAATGAGACAAGTGAAGCGTAGTAGTGGTACACACCTCGCTTGAATACGTTAAGCCAGCATTGGATGATCTTCTTGTGATTAAGGCGATGCTGCAGGCACCAGTTGGACATTTGCTGTATGCACTCCTGTGTGTCCTTGAGCGCTTCGAGGCGCGTCTCAAATAGCTCTTCATCGAAGGGTTCATTTGTTTTGGACATTTCGCTTTTTGTTGTTGTTGTTGTAGTTGTTTGGCTCATGGTGCATTACAATGGCGCCAATTTATTTTGGTTCTAGTTTTCTGTATATGCGCCCAGTTACCCTCGCTGCGGCAGCGGCGACGTTTTTCTTCACTGTTTCACAGGGCCACACAAACACGCGCACTTTTTTCAGCCGCAGTTAAGCAGTCAAGCGATGAGCTTGAGCTGCTTGCATATTGTTTAAAATCTGCTACGTAGCTGGGCTTAGGTTTTGTGTATATTTATCAAACTGAATTGCACGCGGTTTTTGCCAATTTTGTTGTTTTTCTTGGGAGTTGTATCTCAAGTGAACATGCTACCAAAATGAGCAAACAATATTTTAACCAACACTAATGGCTTTGCATAGAAGTTGTGGGCACCTTAAAATTTTAACATTTACTGCTATTAACAGCGCGCAAAAATTGATTCACTTGAAAAGTACAAAATAAAGATCGATAAATAAATAGAAATACGATGTTAACTAAATAATTTTCTATGTTCTCTCATAAAGTATTTAGGAGAATCTTAAAGATGTAGACATATTTATAGAAACATAACAGAGTCAAAACAAAGCAGCTGTTCTCTAGATAACTTCGGTTTCCAACACTGTCTGGGGATGGCTGCTAGCTCGGCAGCAACAGAAATAGATACAGTGAAATTATTTTTAGTAAATGAGTGGGCCCTAAATTAAATAAAAAGATATATAAACTTATTAATTCGAATGGCGGATTATTCTTCAAGATTAACTCTAAGCTTTAAATTTACAGTTGTTCAATTAAAAACTCTTCTTTGAATAGTCCTTTTTGAAATGAGGCGCGCACTCTACTACTTTGTAATGCTGCGCAGGATATAAATTTGGTATTTTCCTTAATTTATTTTTGGCATTTTTTGGAGTATCTTGCTTGGTGTGCGGTGCATTGCAGCAGGTGGCGCCGATTTGGCGTCAGTTCCATTTGATGAGTAGCTGCAGTAGGTAGGGCTTGCGCAAAGTTGTAAATGTTATCGCGCGTAAAATTTCTCGCGTACTCTTGTAACACTCTCAATTGCCGGCAGTGTAAGGCAGCGTAAGTGATAACAGTAACGCATTGATAACGGTGCGCGTGGGTGTTGCGTTTGTTGCTGTCCTTCTCTGTTCACAGTCCGTTTGTTGTTCTTGTGCTGCAAATTTGTACTTACGTGTGCTTCTTCTTTTTTGCCGGCATATGGCGTCTGCCTGGCTATTGGGATATGGTTGTTGTTGTTATTATTTTTCTCGTTTCTCGTTGTTGTTCCTGCTGAAGTGCCCCTGGCCCAGTCAAAGAAGCTTAGCGAAAGATTAAAGCTTCAATTGAAAACATAATTAAGGCATAATGATGTTTGGCGTGCACAAAATGCGCATTACAAGAATTTTGATGACCGCTACCCATTGATTTGATTATTTAAAAAAGGGAGTATAATGAGTTAGTGGCAGTGTATGCAACAGCCAAAATGAAAGTTGACGGATTCAAGGAGTCTATTATCTAGAACTAAGTATATAATTTTTCTAAATCGACAATTGTCGATATTTAGGCTGTATTCGCCATTTATTTTGTGTATATGTCAGGAATACATCAATATTTATTCACATGTAAAGTATTTCCATGAACTTAAGTCCCCAGCGGTGCATACAGGGTATTTGCTGGTCAGTCATTTCTGATTAGCGTTGCTCTTTTACTTGCTTGTCTAGTGCTTCGCCAACTGTAAACTGCTTCAATTGTTTTGCATTTGGCGTAGCGCGTCCTTCGGCCCATTAGGGCCACGTAATTATTCTGATTACTTGGCACAGACCGAGTAAACACCACCAGCACCAGTAAAAATAACAACAACAACAACATCAACGGCTATAGTAAATTCCCATGCTGCGCTACTGACCCAGTGCCATAGTCAAGTTGCGCCATTTGATTGGCGACGTCACTAGGGGAAATGCGCCGCAGCAAAGCAAAAATAATTACGCTTCAATTTGATTCAGGATTTCACTTGATTTAACCGAACCTTAGAAAGAGCGCTTAAGCAGCTTAAGACGTGCGAAACTAACAGACCATAGAAATTTTCCGAGAAAAGAAAAAACAATTGTAATGGATTTATGCTTAAAGTTGAGGAGTTTCAGTAAATAATTGACATTTGCCAAGAAGTGAGCGCAAAAACAAAAATTTTAATTGCGAGGTAAGTTTGTAAATATATTTTGTATTATTACTAAAAATATATTAAATAATTACAACCAAAAAATGATTATATATATATTAAATTATTAAAAAAACTATATCAAATTATATTATTATATAACAAATTTTAAATTAATTATATTTTAATTTTTTTATTGTTATAAAAATAAACATATATTTTGTTTCTTTATATTTAAAAATGTTGGTATCTGAGTATATTTTTTGTATGTCAAATTTTATTTTAAATACGAAATTGTTAATTAAAACTGATATTTTTAAACTCATTTATTATCTACATAATTGTTTTTTAAATTTGTATTCCTTATTATATCAAGTATACAAATTTATAATTAGTTTTATATATAATATTAATATATATTTATGCATTGAGAGATTTCCATCAACTGACCTAATTATACTCACTAAAGAGCTAATACAGATTGAGCTCATCTCCCACGCATTAGATCTAATAGCCTCTCCTTTGTTTGCTTTGCTTTCTTTAAGTATCGAACATAAAACCAATTGCAACTTATATCTATATACACCTCCAATGGCGTCATTAGTTGGTAAAATTACTAAACTTATGGAGATGGTCCTAAGTGATCCCACGCACACGCACACACGCACACTCGCGCGCAAGACAATAAACTCTAATTAGAAGCAAATTCAGTGGGCGATGCTGATGTCCTGCGTTTTTTTATATCTTAGCTTGTAACCTGATTGCCAGCTGCCCTTTTGGTAGGATAGACGCTCGCTCGCTGGCTCGCTGGCTGGCTGTTGCTCATCCAAGCACACATTTGTCAATTAGCTGTCCATTTGCAGCGACAGTCTCTCGCTTCCTAGCTACCTCCCTGGCTCCCTTTCAAAATTTCACCCACACTAAGCCCTTAAAACTCGAACAACTGCGTCGCAATTTCATGACGGGAGTAAAAGTTCTTGGGTCTGCCTTTTGCAGCTTGTGTACCATAAAAATGGTATTTAAACAAACGTTTATAAAGCGCACGTTGGGGCTCTCTCTCAATGCTCCACACTTTTATGCAGTTTTCATATTTGGTTTCCATGCCAATTATTGGCCAGCTAATTGGCTGACATTCCCTGCACTTAAAACCGATTACATTATAGGAATTTATGATATTTTTCACTCTAATTATGTTTTTCTTGGTACTGTGAGGAATTTTCATTTTCATGTTAAATTTTCCGTGTGTGCAAGGAAAAGAGGAAAAATTGTAGCACACTTTTCAGCATTCGCGCGCAATATTTCCATGGAAATAAATACAGGAATTGAGCATTGCGCCAGATTGATAGATGAATAGATATCATTACCAACTTGACCAATATACTTGCTCGATTGTGGATTCAAACCACGGGCGAGGGCAGCTTAGTAAGTTGTTGATAATATTTATTTTATATAGGCCTTCATCCAAAAGTATTTATAGGGCAGTCTGGGGGTTAGAGCAACAGTTTTCACAACTTTAAAATATGTTTCCAGAAATTTCTAATCTAAAAATCATAATTTAAAAGATTTAAAATAAAGTTCTTGGTACAAAATAATTATATTTTTATTTTCTTTTTCATTTCAATATAATATTCATCAATTTAATGCAAGTCTGATAAGACTGATAAGACATACAAAATTTAGCTCTGAAGCTAAAATCATATGTCTTCAATCAGGATCAATCAATTTTCAATACTTCTAACAAAACTGCTTGAATCAATCAAGTCAATCAAGTCAACAACAAGTTACGTAATTGTCAGGTGCAAAACAGATTTTTGGGCTTTCAGAAATCTGTTTTGGTCTATGATGTAGGTGGATTGATCAGTCATTGTTTGTTTGTAAGTCACTGCTAAGCTGTTTTAGCTTGATAGCTGCCCTTGAATAAGGTAAGCATCAATAGTCAACGCGTATGTGGAACTGACTCAGGCAATAGACGTCATCCGGGCCCACGCGAATCGAGTAAACAAGTTTACGTGAATGAGTTGACGCAGACGGAAGTGGCGGGGGTGGCGGAATGTTGGCATAGAGTAGCTTTAGTCTGGCATTAGTTTATATTGCTTTTGTTGTTGTTCTTGTTGGGGCAGGTTCATGTCAATTGTCCGCTGCCAGTTAGCCCCGCAGCGCGTGTGTTAGCTAATGACAAATTGAATGCAGCTGCTGTCGGTTGCAGCTCGCATGATGGATGCCCGCATGGAAGCCTGTAAATCCACCCGAACGCGATTCAAAATCTTTGCTTGGCATTTTTAATTTGCATATGTGAGATGAGCTCAGCTGTGCGCTTTGACAAAGGACACGCTGCTGCCACTTAATAAAAGAACAAAGCACCGCCTGCTCCTGCCATTCTCCGTCTTTCTTTTTTTCTGCGATGATGGCAAAGAAAATGAACATTGCAATGCATGACATATTAATGGGCTAATAGCGACCCTCTCTTTCGCCAGCTTAGCTCTTCATTCATCATGTGCAGGTCATTAATATTTTATTTCAGCTAGAGTGGTTGCTCGTTAGGCGAAACGCCTGCATTTCAGTTAAATAAACTTGATGGAAACTTAAAGAACTTTTGCTTTTTCTTTCAAATTAATTCTTAACGCTATAGGTTTTTATTAGCCAGTAAGTACTGTAGCTTTAAAATTACGCCAACCTTGCAAATTTCGTTAATTGCGCGCTCTGCACACTAATGTCTTACATCGACACTTAAAATCGCATTAGCTAAAATGTAGACAAACCCCTAGATAACTACTTACAATCCAGATAAATATATGGGAATAATATATATATATATATATATATATATATATATATATATATATATATATATATATATATATATATATATATATATTATTCCCATTCACTCTTTGTCTCAGCTCTTGTGTTTTTTTTTTTTTTTTTGGCTAATAAACGTTTTTCATCCCATGCGGCGTATACGCAACTTGCAGCCAAATGTCTGCTACGTGATTTTCAGTTTGTGCCACTTGCGACACGTTTGCGCGTCAAATGTTCGCTTTTTGCCAGCCTTCTGTTATTGTTGTTGTTATTTTTGTTTTCATTGTTTGCTCTGCTCGTTGCTCATTGTTGTCGCGCGGTTCGCCAGACGAAGAGATTACAGGGTATGCAGCGGGTTGAGATGATGTTGTTTATACATTTATTTATATGTAAAGTAACAGTAAAGTTGTCTATATATATTGAATACTAAACTATCATTTTAGTGTAGTCTTTAATGCATCCGAGGATTCCAATTAGATTTCAATATTCAATTTTTAGGTAAATAAAATAAGTTTTTAATGAAATTAATTAAAAAAAGTGCTAAAAATATTTT